GCTGCCGATCTAGTGGGGTGCAGGCTGAGTGGGATGCAGGCTGAGCGGGGTGCAGGCTGGGTAGGGTGCAGGCTGGGTAGGGTGCAGGTTGGGTGGTTTGCAGGTGGCAGTGCAGGGGTGCCCCTTCTCTGGGGGCCAGGCAGGTCCTAGCACAGCTGAGGCAAGTGGATGGCCTTCTTCTGAGGGCCCTGTGGAACCAGCCCCGTGTTCCCACGTGTCCCCGGGCGGGAGGGCTGGAGCACTGGTCGGGCCGCTGGTTATCCCGGCCTCTGTGAGAACCACAAGGGTAGGACACTGCCAGACCAATGTGGGGGTGAGCTGTCAGGAAGGGGAGGTCTAGACCTCCTGGGCCCGGTGAGGGCTGAGTTGGAGGGACAAGGTTCTGAGCCTTGTGGGTTCTGATTATTTGGAAGGAGGGGCTGACTATCTGGGATTATTTCCGAATAAGACCTTGGGAGTGTCTTGGGAGCCCAGGGACTGGAGGGCAACACAGGGCCGTTTCAGCTCCAGCTGCTCAGGGCTGGACTGCAGTGTATGCGCATAGGTTGGGTCCTGGCACACAGGCAGGCACACACGTGCACGCACATGTGCACATACACAGTGCATAGGCACGTGTGTGCACACACACATGTGCACACGTGTAACATGCCTCAGTCCTGGGCCACAGGAGTACTAAGATCCTCCTTAGCCTCGTGACACTGAAGCGTGGGGACACACTGCCAGGGTCACTGTCGGGTGGAGCTGGGACTTCCGTCCACATCTCCAGGGCTCTAGCTTCATCCTGGGTGTTCAGGGCCACCCTGTGGCTCTACTCCAGCCCGCCACCATCGGCAGTGCAGGGTCCTCCCGGCCCCCGCGGCAGAGTGCGGGTGCACACAGCTCTGCGAGGCTGGGACGGTGGAAGACTGGCCTTCCCTGTCTGTGCAGTGCAGTGGGGCGGTCTCTGTCCCACAGCGTCAGTTCTTACTCACCAGAGAGACAGCGAGAGGGAGGGAACGCCCCCCAGGGAGCGCAGTCGCTCTGCGGTCCTTTTCCTCCATTTCTCTGCGGCGTCGGGAAGCATCCAGGGCTGGGATTTGAACCGCGGTCAGCTGTGTGGGAGCAGGTTCCCTTTACATAGGGCCCCAGGCCAGCCTGCACAGGATGTTAGTTAGAACCAGAACCTTGCACTAAGAGGAGGCAGGCACGTGGGAAGCCCAGATCAGTGGCAGGGGAAACACAGCACTCGGTGAGGCCGACCACGTGGGCACGTCCTGGGTTCACGTCCATGGTCTCCACGTACACTCGAGTGCATGAGTGTGTGATCCCGTGTTCCAGGCTGGCAGATTGGGGTGGGCTGTGGCGTGGAAACCCTACTGGGTCCCTCTCCTTCTCCCTGGAAGAGGAGAGTAGACTGAAGAGAGAAGGGGAGCCCAGCCCAGGCCGCAGTTCCGAGACGGCATGCTGGTCCGGGCGCTGTGAGCAGACACAGGTGTGCCCGAGGTTGGGTCTTTTCTAAGACGCTTCACGTGAGCGCTTAGGACAGGGCCGGAGGTGCAGATGCCAGCACACCGCCTTTAGCGTAGGTGCTAACGCCATGCGGGTGCGAACGCCCTGTGGCTGCAGAGATGCGCAGGCGCTAATGTGGCCCACCTGTGCTGCAGCTGTACGACCCAGAGCCTGCTCTGTGCCTAGCATGCGGCTGTCAGTTTTTCTCTTACTGAGCCGGTTCGGGACTCAACCCCGTTGTTATCTGAGTTGGAACTGCAGATCGCTGTACCCGAATGCACTGTGCTTTTAAGAATTGTTGGACGGCTGAGTGAAAATATTTTCATTCTCACGATGCAGTCCTGGCCCAGGTACCCAATGGGCAAAATAAGATTTGCACAAATACTATCTTTTCTGAAGTACGTATGGAAAGGAACCCCAAGAACAGAGAGGAGAAAGCTTCCCCCTCAGCCTTCAGTTTCCTCTGCCACCCTGGCTTCTAAGGCAGTGCTTTTCCGCCCCCGCGCTCTGGAGGCCCGTGTTGCTGGGCTGCCATTCCCCAGGGACAGCAAGCGCCTTTGGCCCTCTCCAGCGGGCGAGGGAGGGCGGCCAGGACGGCCCCATGTGGGATTCTGCTGCGCGGGCTTCAGCCGTCTCTTGTCTTTGTCGCCCAGAACAAGGAGGTGACCTGCAAGTGGGAGAAGTGTCCGGTGCTGTCTCAGGACTGTGCGCTGGCCGTCAAGCCGCGGGGAGCCTGCTGTGAGCACTGCAAAGGTGAGAGCCGTCCTGCCGCCCCCTCCTGCCGCCCCCTCCTGCCCTTGCTTCAGGCATTTTTAAAGTTTATTTTTTCTATGAGCGGCAGAGAGACAGAGACAGGCACCCCCGCAGGTCCCCGCGCTGTCATCCACCCCAGGCTCTGAGCAGCCTCGCATCCTGGGCCTGCGTCCTGGCGCCCTCGGGGCAGGGGCAGGTCTCTGGGGTGAACCTTAGAGCCCGATAGGGGTGGGCCTTGCAGAGCCTGGCTAGAGCATGGCGGCCTCCGGGCTGCTCCAGGTGTGTCCTCTCCTCTCCTTCACTTGGCTCTGGCCTGGGGGAGGTGGGCGTGGGCCCAGAAGCTGGGGTGTGAGGGTGGCTGGTTGAAGGGGACCCCAGTGCAGGGGCGGGAGCGGGTGGGCCTCTGCCCCTGGGGGACTTCTCTAAGGCAGTTAGGATGCCCAAGGGAGGTGGGAACGTGCCGTACGGTTCTCACACACGCACGTGGCGTCCACGGGCTTCCACGTGGAGGTCGTCCAGACTCTCGCTCACCCTAACCCTAACCTCTGCCAAAGGAGTCTCCAAGCCCCAGTTTTACCATTTTGGTCTCTTTGAGCATTTTCTTTTCTTCCAAATGGAACCAAAGTCCCTCCACTTGACTTTGCAGCAGCTCTGAAGTCCTCTCACTGGCCCGGCCTGCCCTGTCCCAGTGTCCCCCGGGACACGAGCCATCTGAGCACTCTCCCAGCCCGCCTCTCCTGCCTTCCCCACCCTTCCTCCCCACCCGTCTGCCCGTGACCCTTCCTCCCCACCTGTCTGCCCGTGTTGGAGGAGGCCAGGCCTTCCCCACTCGACCCTGGTGTCCATGGCACGCAGTGCATGAGGGCACCTCAGGGTGTCCCCTCCGCATGGCCTCTCGGTGGCCATTCTCCTGAGCCAGGCGCCAGGTTGACCTCTGAGCTCGCAGTGCACTGGCTCTCTGCAAGCCCACGGAGTGGGTGTTATGAAACCCACGTGCGGATCACGGGCACTTTCCGACGTGGCTTCATCTGTGGTGGCGAGTGCGTGAGCGCGGGGAGACCAGGTTTGCCGACTCCAGGACCCTCCCCTCTGCCCTCAGCTCGCCAGGTGTGGCCTTTCCGTCAGCCAGGCCAGGGGTACAGGCCTGGGGGCCAGTCATGGTCGGCCAGGTGGGTTTTGTCTCTGGTGCCGCACACGCCCTTGGGCTGTCCCAAGTTGGGCTCATTTCAAAACTTTTTGCACCAAAATAAACTCATATTTAATTCCGTTTTGCCTTGAACTTTCCAGAGCCTCCCATTGGGTGTAAAGCTGCCCTGAGGTGGTGTGACATGGGTTCCGGGTGTGCTGTGGGGTCGCGCTGCGGAGTCTGAGTCAGCGGTACCGGACGGCAGTCTCCACACCGCCTGTCCACTCAGACTTGGAGGGAGACCTTATTTGGAAACAGGATCTCTGCAGATAGAGCCATGTTAGATGTGGCCGTGCGGGTTAGGCAGCCTGACACCCGTGTGGCTGGTGTTTGAGAGGAGGGAGCACAGGCAGATGGGCACTCAGAGAGGCCGCGTCCAGCACAGAGTGGCTGCTGTGCGGTCCCAGCCAGGGCGTCCCAGCTACCGAGAGTGTGGCAAGGCTGGGACCATCCCGGACGTCAGACAGCCCGCCAATGCCTGGACTTTGGGCTCCCTGTCTCTGGAGAGGCCACGAGTGTCTGAGCCCCAGGTTCACAGCCACGTGCTTGGCAGCCCCAGGGTCTAACACGTGAGCAGGGGGGACGGGGTGGCTCCTGCCCAGGGCCCTGACCGGCTGGATGAGGGTGATGACAGCATCAGAAGTGGGAGGAGAAGGGAAGTCCAGAGTCGCTCTCTGCTTGCCAGAGAGCAGTTCACAGCAATGGGGTTTATCAGCATTCTCCACACTGCGGGCTCGACTGCTACCACCGTCCGGCACAGAGGGGGCCTTCTGCTGCTGTGTGCGGCATCCCTGCTGTGCGTGCATGTCCCACCGTGCGTGCACTCCCTGCTGTGCATGTACACGTCCCTGCTGTGTGTGCGTGCATCCCTGCTGTGTACATGTGTTTACATTTCTGCTGTGTATAGGTGTACATGTCCCAGCTGTGTGTTTGCTCATCCTGGTTGTGTGTTCACACCGTGGCTGTGTGTGTTCACATCCCGGCTGTGTGTTTGCTCATCCTGGTTGTGTGTGTTCATACCGTGGTTGTGTGTGTTCACGTCCCAGCTGTGTGTTTGCTCATCCCGGCTGTGTGTGTGCATGTCCCGGCTGTGTGTGTGTGTACATGTCCCAGCTGTGTGTGTGTGTACATGTCCCTGGTGTGTTCAGGTCCCAGCTGTGTGTGTGTGTGCATGTCCCTGCTGTGTATGTGTGTGCATGTCCCAGCTGTGTGTGTGTGTGCATGTCCCTGCTGTGTATGTGTGTGCATGTCCCGGCTGTGTGTGCACATCCCAGTTATGTATATGTGTGTATTCACGTCCCGGCTATGTGTACACGTCCCAGCTTTGTGTGTGTGTACACATCCCTGCTGAGTGTGTGTGCACATCTGGCTGTATGTGCATGTCCCAGCTGTGTGTATGTGCACACATTGCTGCTCTGTGTGCGCATCCCGGCTGTGTGCGCACATCCTGACTGCACGTATGTGCACCTGTCGCTGCCGTGTGTATACATGTTCCTGCATGTCTTGCTATTCCCTTATCATCCACCCTTCCCTGCAGTCTTCTGAATCCTCCACTCGTCCTGGGCATAGGAAGGTGAGCCCCCTCTGCCTAACTGTACGGGGAACCCAGCAGGGAGCTCCCAGCCGCCGTCTCCCTGAGGCAGTTTCTAGGCCCGTGGGGAGGTCAAGAGACCCGGTCTGCTCTGAGCTGGACCTTCCGGAAAGAGACTCCCACTCAGATTTGGCTCCTCCAGGGCTGTGGGTGGGCATGGAGAGGCCCTTCCTTCATCCCTCCCTGCAATGTGGTGTCTACTTGAGGGTTACTAGCAGTGTGCTCAGGGGCTCTCTGGCGTGTAGACACCAAGGGTTCTGCTTTGTCTGTGCTTCTGTTTTTATTTTTAAAGTTTCCTTTATTGAGAGAGGGAGAGAGAGAGAGAGAGAGAGAGAGAGAGAGAGAGAGAGAGAGAAACAAGCGGGCCC